TTTTAAAAAACTTTAAAATCATTATTTTATAATAAAATTACTAATTAATTAATAATAAAACTTTATTATTATTATTAGAATCACAAAATTATTTTATTAAAGTTTTATTTTAATTAAATAAATATTTATTGAATTATAATAAAAAATATTAATCCAAAAACTTTTGCACCATACTGTAAATATATAAAAAAAAATTAAAAAAAATTATTATAAATTCTTTTCTATTTATTGAATATAGTAGTAATAAAAAATTATAATTCAATTTAATAAAATTTTTAAAATTTATATATATATAATATAAAAAATAATTAAAATAATTATTTTTTATTTTTTTATATTATAGATTATTATAATTTTTATTTTTTATATTTATATTTTTTAAATTTATTATATTTTTTATATTATTTATTAATTTATTAATTTGTTATTATCTTATCTTATTTAAGTAAATAATTTTATTTAAATAAAAGATATATTTGTTTAAAGTATAGATTTTTTTAAAAAAAATTAAACCAATATTATTTTAATTCAAAAATTTAAGATTTTTTATAAATAACAAATCTTATTATCTTTAAATTTTAGATATATCTTTTTATAATTAATGATTTTTATATCAACTTAATAAAATATATAAAAAAATTATTGAAAGTAAATTTAATTAACAATACTAATTATATAATAATATTTCATTATATCTAAATTCTTAATATAAACAAATTTGTTATCTAATATTAATAAAAATTAAAATTAAAAATAAATTTTATAAATATCTTTTTACTACTCAAAAAAAAACAGTGCATTTAGCGAAAAAAAATTAAAAAAATCAACAGTTTTTTTTGCCAGTACTGTAATAAAACAATTTATATAATTCATTTTAAATATTATAAGTTATTGAAATAATTTCTCACTTAACAGTATAAAAATGGTATAATTTGATCGGTCCAATGAATGCCTAGTAACGAAAATTTAAAGAATGTCATATCAAGTATCAAGTTCACCGACTGAAAGGTGTGCCTAGCATTTTTTTCTCAAATGAAAGAAATTTTTACTTATCATTATTCTATAACCTTTATTTGAAAACATGACAGTCAGGCTCTATACTTAGATCCAGGTAAACTAAGAATTAAACTCGTATGCAGCAATTTGCGTCCAAGTTGAACAGATTTTAAAATATAACTTTTCAACAGCCATACGTGATTGGGTATTGATCCCTATCATGGTGGTAATGGTTCTTGTCGGTGTGTTTAGAGATCAAGTTACAGTATTGTTAAGTGGGAGCGGTCCGAAAAAACCTGTCTTAAAAGCAATTAGGGAAACAAGAGTTTTAGTACGCGGCGCGACGTTAAGGAGTTATGGAAATCATATTCCTCCATCATCTTTTTATAGCAGAAAAAGTTATTTAGCAAATGCATATGAAAAAGGTTATTATCTGAAAAATCCAATAGCTATGAATCAGACGGTAAATCCAATGGATCCTCAAGGAATGGAAATGATGATGGAAGGAATGAAAAAGAATTTTGCGATGATCATACCACAAACTGTTATCATGGGTTGGGTAAACTTCTTCTTTTCCGGATTTGTGTTAAGTATGTATAATATTATGTCTACTCGAGAGTTTTGCGTAGAGTTTTTAACAATGTTTCTCTTTGTTATTCTTTCCGAATATCTTTATACAATTAGTTAAAATGCCCTTCCCCCTTACACTTCGTTTCAAGTCTATGCTTCAACGTGGTGTGGAGACTTCTGACATGGATGTCACATGGGTTTCATCTTTGTCTTGGTATTTTCTTAATCTTTTCGGTTTAAGAAGTATATTTTCCCTACTTTTAGGCGAAGATAATGCGGCTGATGGCATGCGGGATATGACTGCAATGCCACAAATGGGTGCTTCAGCTACAGGACAGCCACAAAATTATCATAAACTTCATCTTGCTGAAAAAGAAAATCTTGAACTGACACCGCATGCTTGGGAGTTGGAGGATGTGGAGTATAGATTGTTAGCTCAATATGGTAAAAGACCGAGAATTTCAATTACTGAAACTAATGAAAGAAACGAAGGGTCGTCATCCGTGTCTGAATATAAAGGTAAAGGTCGCAAGAAGGGAGGAAAATGAGATTGAACTATAAGAGTAGAGGATTTGAGATCACATCACTCTTTCGAAACATGCTTCTGTTCCCAAAAATTATGTGTTCATCTTTCGGTCAGTATGTAGACGGTATTTTAAATAAATCTAAGTAAATCCTTTTACCCTAGGGCGAGTTAGTGTGCTGCGATGCATAGCTTTAGAGAAACAATTTAAGATCTATTTTTCTAGATGTCAAGAGTCATTCTAAATCCGAACTTTAACATTGTTACAATAGTCTTTTCTAATTAAATATATTAAATTGTATTTAATCCCTAAAAAAAATAATTTAATAAATTTAATATGAACCTTTAATATAAATTTATTTAATAGCTTAAATCATATATTATAAATTGCTTATTGTTTTTAAGCATTACATAAATTTAATCTAGTATTAATTTAATTAAATTAAATTTATTGATTGATAAAATCCTTTTTTAAATATTTTTATTTAATACTAAGAATATTTTTTTTCTTATTTTAAAATAAAAAAAAAATTGTTTTTTTTTTATATTATAATTTATAAATATTAATTCAGATTAAAAATAATAATAATTACAACCTGTAGGTCAATAGCATAGTGGGTAGTGTTCCCATGTCTCCAAATACATATTCTAGTTCAATATTTACAAAAGGCAAAAAGTATATTTGTTTTTATATGTAAATTTACTGAATATCTTGTATATATAGAGGATGAACAAAAGTTTATGGATAATTTTTTTTTTTTTTAAATAAATTTTTTTTTTTGGGGGGGTTTCTCCAGTAGGTAAACATTATTTCTTTATTTGATATTGTATATAACAAGGTATACATCATGAAAGAAACAACATCTCTTGGATGCATTGCATACAACAAGTTAAATGCTAGCTTGTCTACTTTTACAATACCTAACTAATATCATAAAAAAATTCAAAATCAATATTAATGTGTTAGATAAGGTTAAGTAGTGGCTATACATATGGCTAAAATTATTTTACAATTGACTCAATTATTTGAAATTTTTATAGTGCCACAATTAATGTGTCGCAAGTCACAATTGTGACGCAATTATATAAATTTGCTGCAAATAAATCAATATGATGCAATCATGTGATTTGCTGCAATTGTGCCACAATTAAATTAATATGACGCAATCATATGATTTGCCGCAATTATCAAATTTGCCGCAATTGTGCTGCAATTAAATTAATATGACACAATTATGTGATTTGCTACAATTATATAATTTGTCGCAATTGTGCCGCAATTAAATTAATATGACACAATTATGTGATTTGCCACAATTATCAATTTTGCTGCAACTTTGCCACAATTATTAACCAATTAAATTTAAAAAAATAAAAAAAAATAAAAATAACAAATTTATTATTTTTCTATCCATCCATCCATTAAAAATGCAAAGTGATGATAATAAAACAGTTTCCTCATCATCCAAAAATATAGTTGGATGACCAGAATCATTAGCTTGGCAACATTTTTATAAAACAGCTATTGATAAAAGTCGTGAACACTTTTCAGCAACATGTTATTATTGTAACAAAAAATATTAGAGGGGTAAATCAAATATTCTTGAAGACTATTTAGCAAGTAAGTATGTATTTTGTCCAATTGAAATCTGAAATGGATTTTTGGAAACAATTGCTAATAGAACAGTTGAGAACAAAAAAAAATCTACCAAAAAAATAAAATTAGATCCAAAACAATCTCTATTAAGTAATTTTATGGAAAGTATCAAGTTAACTAATACTAGAAGAGATGCAATCAATGTAGCATTAGGAAGATTTTTTGTTACCTGTGAAATTTCTTTTGCAGTTACAGACCACCCATTTTTTATTGAATTTTGTAAACAGCTTTGTCCAGCTTATTATCCACCATATTGTACAACAATTTTCACAAATATTCTTCACTCAGAGGCAGCAGCAATCACAATTAAAATTTAAAAGGAATTATAATCAGAAGAAAATATCACAATTGCTTTGGATGGATGGACAGATTCTAGCAATTGCCAATTATATAATTTTATTTTGATGACATCTAATAGATATGAATATCTTTGGGCTATTGAAGATGTATTATCAGAAAGCATTACTGGAGAATTTTTGGCCAATTATGTTGAAAAAATCATCAATACTATTGGACAAAATAAAATTACAAGATTGGTTACAGATGGAGTGGCTAATTGTAAGGTTGCACAAAATCTTATTGGTGAAAAATATCTGCGAATTATTACTATGTGATATATTGCACATCATATTAATTTAATTTCCAAGGATATATGCAAGCATCAGTTTGCCATTAATACAATTACTAAGTGTCAAACATTGATATTATTTTTTTTGAGATCACATTAAAGGATAAGTGTACTTCGGGAATCTATTAATGAATTAAAAATCAAGAGTAGTGGTATTAAAACATTAACCCAAACAAGATGGTCAACAATATATGATTGTTGTGAATCAATTATTAGACTTCGATCAGTATTTGAAGATGTAAGTATTTGAATTTTTATTAATTT